GGTGTGATGATTCAACCAAATGTGTTCACTTTGAAGCTTTAAAACTCTTTAAATGTTTTTATTTTTGAAGAGAATGTCCAAAAATAACTACAAGTGTTGAGCTGTAGTTTCCTGTTGTACATTGTTTCTCTATGTTTAAGACAATCACAGTATAATTCAAGTTCATTGGAATATGTTTCTAATATAAGGAGAACTTTTTGATCTTCAACTGTGTTTTTAGCAAATATAAAATCCAAATATATAAGTCTTTCCAAAAACTGTGAATAAACTGTATTTAGATCAAAGCTTCTAAAGATGACTGCTGTATAAACTGGTCAGAGGTCAGTTGCAGAAGAAAAGACATGATTTCTCACTTATATATTACAAATGTTTCCCACATTTAACTCTACCTGATGACGACCCTCAGTATGAGCAGCAGTGGGGTTTGAAGCTGATGTTCACAGTCTGGTGTAAAAGCTCAGTTTTTAGATACTCGTTCTTTGCTTGTGTATTTACATTTTATGCAACTTTATTAATCTACTTCACCACATGTCAGAGAGAAATAATGCACATTACACATTTTATTTCACAGCTATTCATTTACTTTGCAGATAAATCACAACTAAAACCTGATCAGCCCATTAAATATGATGTTATTGTAGATTAAACAGTTTATAAATTCATTAAAATTAACTCCACTTTAACCAACTTCAGTATTACATTGCTGCTATATGTTAATATGTGCATCTAAAGTCAATCCGAGGACTTTTACATGTAATGAGGTTACTTTTAGTGCTGGAAAGTAACTAAGTATACTAGTATAGTACTTCTGCTCCACTTGGGTTCAGAGGGGACTGTTGTACATTTTACTGCACTACCTTTATTTAACAACTAGTGGTTCCCAACATTTCTGTCTGATTGCCTCTTAAAATAAAGCAGTGTGCAGCTGAGGCTCCTTATTCTTGTCCTGATGTCCATGATTTATCAGCTGTTGCACCAGAGACTCTCCACCTCTAAACGTCTCACATGGTTTTATTTAAATTACTGTTCAAGGTCCAAAGAGCTCAATATTATGTTAAATATCCAATATTTTACCCAAAAACCCCACTGGGTAAATGCTTTCCTCAGATTTATCTGGTGACCCTTTGGAGGGCCGGACCCCTAGGTTGGGAACCACTGCACTGAACTAACTAACTGTATAAATCACATTAGGGCAGTGTGTATGCTCACTATGTGTAATGACAGTCAGAATATATTCTAGTGAACAAACAACAAGGCACACTGAAACAGAAGAAGGCTGAAAACTGTCTCTTGAAATATAAAATATAAAATACAATACATACTCACTCATCTTTTCTTTACTGCACATTATTACAGCATTAATGAGATTTAATGATCAATCACACATTGGTTCTAGAAGATTTGTGCTTTTCATGATGAAAATAGTCTAAAACAATGTAACTTAAAATTGTATTTCACGTGGCTATAAAAAATATTCACACAAGCAATAAAATATTTACGAGCTGCAGTTGAGCTGGACGCAGGGCCGGCCCAAGGCATAAGCGAACTAAGCAGCTGCTTAGGGCCCCCTGACCACTGGGGGGCCCCAAGAGCAATTAACTTAAAAAAGAAAAAAGTAATTAATTATTTTTTTCCATGTGTGAGTGATGATGAATCATATATTATCAAATGTAAATTCTTGTACAAAAACCCCCAGAACCCAACAACAATATGATGTTAACAGAGTGTAGTTTCCTACTGCCTCTCGCTCCAACGGTCAGAGCTCTGTTAGTAACGTGTGCAGAGCTCCCAACCGTACAGTGCCGTGTGCACTGAGCATCCAGGAGCTAGGAGCAGGTGAATGATGTCACAATAAAGGACCTAACGTTACCTTCAGGGGCAGAAAGAGGAAGAGGAAGAGGAAGAGGAAGGAAAAGGAAGAGGAGAAACAACGACAAGATAAAGGTATGTCCTGGTAATGTAACATTTGGTGTCAAGGAGATTTTGAAAAGTTCCCTGAAATTATTAAAGTCCCTAATTATTGTTGATATTTAGTTCCAAATACATTAGCCTGTAATAGCTAATTTACTAGCTAACATTAGTTCAAAACGTCTTACTACTTCTCTCTTATGGGTTAGATATAGGATTATATAGGTTAGATAGGATTATATAGGTTAGATAGGATTATATAGGATTATATAGGTTAGATAGGATTATATAGGTTAGATAGGATTATATAGGTTAGATAGGATTATATAGGATTATATAGGTTAGATAGGATTATATAGGATTATATAGGATTATATAGGTTATATAGGTTATATAGGATTATATAGGTTAGATAGGATAGATAGGATTATATAGGTTAGATAGGATTATATAGGATAGATAGGATTATATAGGATTATATAGGTTAGATAGGATTATATAGGATAGATAGGATTATATAGGTTAAATAGGATTATATATGATAGATAGGATTATATAGGATTATATAGGTTAGATAGGATTATATAAATTAGATAGGATTATATAGGTTAGATAGGATGGATAGGATTATATAGGTTAGATAGGATTATATAGGTTAGATAGGATTATATAGGATTATATAGGTTAGATAGGATTATATAGGATTATATAGGTTAGATAGGATTATATAGGATTATAAAGGTTAGATAGGATTATATATGATAGATAGGATTATATAGGATTATATAGGTTAGATAGGATTATATAAATTAGATAGGATTATATAGGTTAGATAGGATTATATAGGTTAGATAGGATTATATAGGATTATATAGGTTAGATAGGATTATATAGGGATTATATGGGTTAGATAGGATTATATAGGTTAGATATGATTATATAGGATTATATAAATTATATAGGATTATATAGGATTATATAGGTTAGATAGGATTATATAGGATTATATAGGTTAGATAGGATTATATAGGATTATATAGGTTAGATAGGATTATATAGGATTATATAGGTTAGATAGGATTATATAGGTTAGATAGGATTATATAGGATTATATAGGTTAGATAGTTTACTATTCAAGCTAACGTTGTTGTGTTTGTGTAATACTTTGAATAAGTTGATTCTCAGTGTATTTATATTATTCTGAGTCGCTTTTGGCATCAAAACAACGTTTTTGATAACGTTTGATAGCAAATGTTTAAAAACTAACGTTAATTACAAACGCGGTGACGTTTGTTAGCAATATGGTTTTACATTAATGAATTAATTTAGTTAACTTATAGTTTGAGGTATGTTGTTTGCAATTGTTTGCTGCAGAGCACAGTAATTTATGTGAGTAAATAAACATATTCCTTTTACATCAACTCCCTATTGTGCTCATACGTTATATGAAACTTCCCCAGGAGCACTGTTAGAATATTTAGGAGGAGGCACTGACTCAGCCCAGGGGCAATCCACCTCCTCAGGAGCAGCCAAGGCTGATGAATCAGGTGATCAAACATCATATACATTTAATTTCTAGTCAGATTATCTCATTAAGATATACTAATATAAGATATAATCATATGACAAGGGACATGTTTTTCATCTCAGGTCCATCTCTATCCTCTGCTCCATCCACTGTGCCCACTGTCCTCTCTGCAACCTCAGCTGTACCTGGTAAGTTAACAACAGAACAAACTTTATAATTGATCAGTGTACTGCAGAATATTCTGAGATGAATAATTTTGTCCAAAAATATTATTTTAATTTCCCTATAGGTCCTTCATCTTTGGTCATGGAGATTGATGTGTCTTCTTCAGCATCCAGTTTGGAGCAGGGATCAGCAGCTCCGCCAGTTGACCCAGCTGAGTGTCCCTCTTTCCTGTCAGACTCAGAAAGGACTGAACAGGTATTAAGAGGGCCACTGCCTATAAAGGACACATTCACATTCCCAAAAAGACACAGTAATAGAGGGCCCCAAAATCAAATTTTGCTTAGGGCCCCATGGAGGCTTGGGCCGGCCCTAGAACTACATAAGGTGCAAGTTACCTGGAATGTTACCCATGGTTAAGATTGGCGGAGTGATATGATGTTAAGTGTGTTCAGTTGTCCTACGGACATTAAAGTGGATCGAATAACCAAGATGAAGTTGTCCCTGTGCTCTTGCTTCACCCACGACCCAAAGGTAGTTAATAAAGTAACAATCAAGTTATAGTTAACGCTAAGAGTAACCAGCGTTACACTATTAAAGTTCCTTGATAAGCAGTGAAAGTTTGATTTGTTGAATTTCTTTAATAAAATTCATATTTTTGGGTGTATTTCTACTCGACAGGGCAGCTTGAGAGATGGACAGGAGAGGGGAGGACATATAGTAAAAGGTCTACAGGTCAGACTCAAGATCCTAACCTTGGTACCTGAGGTCCTACCGGGTTAGATACTAGAGACACCAAAATAAATGTATTTAAAAATAAAACCAAACTGTGAATGAGAATACTGACATTACATTGCTGAAATGTTTTGTGTTAATATAATTCTCCACCTAATAGATATCATCTCATCATTTATTTATTCATTATGTAAACAGTTTAAAGTTACAGTAACAGATATTTCTGTAAATGTGCCAGTTTAACCGTCCTGACTCATTTTCATCTGCAGTCTCTGGACAGATGTAATGTCAGACACAAAGGACACTTCATACAAACACATAAACCATTAAAAACAAGGACAACAATACACAAAACATACAACAAAGCACATAAACAACAACAATGTTATCTGGATAAGTTAGAAGTTATGGAGTAATTGTCCTTTAATCAGGATTTTAAGTTGATTTTAAATCCCTGATGTGTGTTACAGTCTCTGAAGTGTCTGAACTTTACGTTTATTTACCTTGTACACTTTATTTAACTAATGTATGATTACAGTCTGTCCGCTGGCATTGTCTGTTTATTGACTGTCAATGTTTACGTTTGTAAATAAACTTTATTTTTAAAGAACCTGAAGAGGAAGCAAGGTTCACTTCCGGGAGAGGTCGGTGAGGAAAGTTTTCCAAGCAGCCATCATCACAACATCGATAGTTAACGTTAGTTTTTAGTCCCCTCAGCTTTAATTCAGGAGGACAACTAATGAGAATGAAGCAAACAGCTCTGAAGGATGTATGTGTCTGTCTGCTGATATCAGCTGGAATAATATTTGGACATGAAACCGGTAAGAAAGTCAAACACTATATTCACTTAGTGTTAGTTAATGTGAGCTACTGAGAGCTTACAGTTACTGATTAGTCCACTGCAACAACTCACCCTCAAATAAAGATTCAATACACAATCATAACAACAATAATAATAATAATAACAATAATACAACGATTCATATAACAGCTAGCACCGTAACCAGCCAGCTTAGCCAACTGTTGTTGTCACCAAGACTTGAAGAAGTTCACCTGAACATGAAAACAACTTTATAATACTTATTTAAACACGTTTATAACTGTTAGAGAGCATATTAATAACAACTCGGGTCTTAAAGAATAAAAGCACAAAGCCAATAAACAAATTATTTATTAATTCTAGAAACTAACAGTGGTGTGTGAAGTGTGTGTGTGTGTGTGTGTGTGTTATCAGCTGCAGAAACACAATCAATCAGTTGGGTCCTTTTTAAGCCATTTATAGTAAATGGTGGGAATGGTCAGAAGGCTCGTGCAGGTTTCAGGATGATAGAGATGTATGAGGGAAAAACACGCAGGAACAGACGTAGGTTTTAGAAATCTGAACTAAAGACTGCGTGTTTCCTGTTTTGTGGGTACACAGATTTCTACACCTAAACATACGAGAGTTTAATGCATCTGGCCCCAGATGTTGAGCAATCTGAAGAGTTCATTGGTCATTCTGTGAATAAGGTGGAGAATATGAGGTCCAGTCTGACTCTTCTCCATCCTCCCAATGTACTCTAACACATTCAGTTGTAGAGAGTACAGTGTCCCGCATGAGCTCCTCCTCTTGCACCTTGGGTATCATGGATGGATGTGCTCTCAAAACTGAGCTTCTGTTTCTAACAATATATCAAAACAATGGAGAAAAACTGAGCTGAATATTTACTCATTTCTGCATCAATCTGTTATCATATCTATTAGATTGATCATTTATATTTAATGATTGTTCTCTATTAAAACTAATGATTGAAATATGTTTCATCTTTCAGGTCCAGCTGTGGTCAGAGTGGTTGTGGAAGAAGGCAGTGATGTTATTCTACCCTGTTCTCTCAGCTCCAAGGAGAACATTGTAGATAAACTGTTTGACTGGAGGAAAGATGGTCAGAAGAAGAAGAAGGAGGTGTTCATGTATGATGCAGGCGATCATTCCAATAACGGCCAAGATGAGCAGTTCAAAGGTCGAGTCTCACATTTTTCTGATCAACTGAAGAACGGTAACGCCTCCATAAAGATCAGAGATACGAAGATATCTGACAGTGGAAACTACACCTGTCATTTTCCTCGTCTTCAACCAAGACAAACCTTCTACATTGAGCTTGTTGTTGGTGAGTACTTTCATTAAACAGTTTAATGTTAATATTATTTTATATTATCAAGATCTGCAGCAGTCATTGTATGTTTGATCCCATTTAGTCCATTTAGTCTTTAGTGAGACGTGCTGTGTGACCAGACCATTATAAAATATTAATAAAAATATTATCTATAGTTAGGGATGGGGACGATCCGATCCAGTATCGGTATCGGGACCGATACCAGCGTAATTCACGTATCGGAATTTCCCGATCCAACCTGCGGAGATTTCCGATATCCATGAGCCATGTCTGCGCTTTAACGTTGTCTGCTGAAATGACTCCACAGGTGATATCATACTTGCCTGTTGAGGAGTTTATTTCAGCCTCATATAAAAATCAACAATAATGATAATGATAATATTAAAGCAAACACAGCTCTGGTATCGGAATAGTATCGGTATCGGCCGATATCCAAATTCAGGTATCGGGATCGGATCGGAAGTGAAAAAATGTGGATCGGTGCATCCCTATCTATAGTATCTTACATACCATTAAAAGATTGTTTTGTTTTCAATAAACACACAAAACAAAATGATATTTGTCAAGGGGTTCCCCATGTTACATATAACTCTACATACATACACAATGCGAGCCAGACGAGTATCTCCAAATGTAGTCAGTCAGATCTGATCACATCCTGATCACAATACATTGCATTGATTAGGAGTCTAGGCAGGAAAGACTTACAGCTTGTATGCTCCCATAAAACCACAACCTGTGTTTTTAGGTTTATGTTTAAACACTTTAGAAGTGCTTGTGTCTGATTTTACCTTTAGATAGAGCCAGGCTAGCTGTTCCCTCTGCTTTCAGTCTTTATGCTAAGCTAACTTCTGCTGGCTTTAGCTTCATTACTGCACAGACATCAGAGTGGGATTATCTTATTTAACTAAAACAAAGCAAATAAGCAAACAGGAAATTAAGTGGAGTGCTGCCTAATCAGTTCTACCTGCTGAGATCAATCAGATAGTTAAAACATGCAAACAAACATGAAGCTCCCTTATTAAATTTGAGTCCTTTGCTGTGTGAATTATGTCATTTTCCTCCATTGTATTCTATTAATATGTCAGTGACATATAAGTTTCTAATATCACTCACTGTAATTAATGTTCTTATTGTGTTTCAGAGCTTACCATTAAAGACCGATCAGGAGAAATCACAGGTGAGTGATGATGTCTCACTGATATCTATATCTGTAACCCTGTTAGATACCCAGCTTATGAGTAGTTAGTGACATCATCAGCATGATTTCTCCTGATCTGTCTTTTAAGGTAGGACTCTGTGGGTCACTATCTAAAGGGCCCATCAGCCTTAATGGAGAGCAGAGCTGTCCTTAACAAGCTTTTCTTTATACTGTGTTCACAGGAGCATCTCCAAAGCCGTACATCTGGACACTGAATGTCACAGAGTACAGAGCACTGCTGCAGTGTGAGGTTCAAGGTGCTTCTCCTAAACCTAAAGTAGAGTGGAAGGACAGAGCTGGAAACATCCTTCCTGCTGAGGAGCCACAGGTCTCAGACAGAGGAGGACGTTACTACGTTACCCTCCTCACCACTGTGACCAAGACCGACCACTACCGCTGTGTAGTCACACAGGAGGAAATCCACCATCAGACTCATTCTGAGACCTACGTGTTCATCTATGGTGAGATTTCTTTCAAATTAGTTTTCAAATATTTTTAGACCCCTTTAATTGTTGTTGTGTGTAGTCTATGAGCAGTGTGCTGTACATGATCTGCAGTTACAGTTTGAGTGTTACATTAACTTTTTTGTGATGTGTTTCAGAGAAACTGTGTGAGGAATCATCCAGCAAAGAGCTCATTGGATGGTTGGGTGGATTGTTTAGTGGATTGGTTTTAGGAGTTTTAACTCTTGCTGCAGTTCAGTTTGTGCTTGTGGCTACAAAGTGCATCGTAATACGTCGTATTAAAGGTAAGTTTATATAATGTATCAACAGATCCATAATGTGCAGACATCAACATAACAGATCCACTGAGACTATCAGGTCCAGAGACTTTGACAGTTTGTTTTTGTCTTCTCAGATATGAACCATTCTGTTAGATAAGATAAGATAAGATTTACCTTTATTAATCCCCTGTTGGAGAAATTCAAGTTTGTATTTACATGAGACCTGCAGCCATATTTATAATGAAGTAATTGATCAATTGAGCCAAAAATGGTAAACATGGTTCCTATGGAGCCCTCAGAGGAGCATATGATGGTAAACATATTGGCATATTATTGAACTATTTTATGATCTTTTATAGTTTGAGAACATAAAGCTTGAAGTCACTCATTCATTTACAGGTGTATCTCAATAAATTAGAATATCATGGAAAGGTTCATTGGTCTCAGGGTAACACTGAACATCGAGAGTCATCTGTAAAACAAATGAATTCATCAGCTGACTAAAAACAACTTTTGAATCTCCACTGTGTACAGTTTGCAGACTTTTGACAAACAGATTCTTCTCTGTAATATAAAAGTTAACTTTATGTAATATATACTTTTTTCTTCTCTGCAGGTTCTCATCAGCAGAGCAACGGTGCTTCTAAAGCTCCTTCTAACGGTTCTTCTAACGGTTCTTCTAACAGTTCTTCTGACGGTTCTTCACAGCCACTTAACCCACCACCTGTTTGATAGGTTCATGTTGTGGAGGGGTGTGTGCTGTACAGTGTACATGTGCAATCTACAACCACTTTGTCTTCCTACCCTTCAATACTCTGCAGTAATCAGATGTAGTTGATGAGTTGCACCTCAACCGTGAATACCACCACAGTAACTGCTTGTAAACCAACTTGACCCAAAGGCTCATGTTGGAGCAGGAATTGGACGTGAAATCAGGGGGAAATTAACAACATCAATCAAGATTACAGGTTTATTAGGATTACAGGACGTTTTCCTCAGGTAAATTCTGCCAAAGTGTTTTATATCTGTGCCACTTAATGTTAGGTTAGTGTTGATACCTACACTCTCTACGGTCTTAGATATATTTCAACATAAGGCAGCTCAAACAACAAAGACCATTTTTATTACAGGGCTTTTTTATGAATGAATTGTATTGTCCCGTATTTCCTCTCACACTGTTGTCCATGAAGACTCAAAATGTAACTTTATGCTGGACTGTTACATGTATTATAGCACATAAATGAATGAGGTGAAGCAACAGACAACTCAAAAAAACAGGAAAAAACACTTGTGATAAATAATAAGGGAAAAGTACTGATAAAACTAAAGAGACATAGAGGTCATATTGTATGACATTACATCTACATTTTTATTTCTCAAAGGTTTCAGAACAAAAAGGTCAGGTACACTAAATAGATATATATTAATGACACTGTAACAGAGCAGAGAGATAGTGGGTTGATTCGTCAGAACAACAGATTCCTGAATCTATGATGTGTGAATATAAAGTAACTTGTAGCTTAATCATGCTGTGCCTTAAAACAAGAGACAAAACTTAAATACAACCAAAAGGAAGCTTGTGAAGTGAAGCAGTAATGGTTGATATCATGGATGTTGAACATTAATAGTCTGAATAAGCTTGTGAGAAGAGACTCTTAAATGAGAGATGAGAAGAGATGGAAACAAAAGACTTTTCTCAGATCTGAGATTGTAATAAACATTAATGCAGATCAGATTCCTAGCTGAAGGAAAAAGGGAAACGATTGTAAAGAGAAGGTAGAGTTAAACTCACACTGGTTTTAATTCTTAAAAAAGGTCTATTTATTGACATGGGAGGTCCAGCTGAACTTGCTTGTAAATATTTTATAGTATATATTGTCAGCTATCTTCTGTGTTGCTTCAATGTGCCTTGTTGTGTTTGTCCACTGTAATATACTCTGACTGAATGTGTATTATTGATGCTGACTGCCATTACAGATAGTGAGCATACACACTGCATTATAGAAGATGGTGTGTGTTTACTATTAGTTATTTGTACTGAAGTTTCATGTTTTTATTCAGGTGCCATACTGAAATATAGTTTGACCAAACCAGCTGTGCTTTCACAAAGTTTTCAATGTTTCCAAGGTGTCTCTCTCATATTGGTGCTTTGTTAAATTTCCTAAGCAATAGTGAGGCATTACAATCATCATGACTGACACTACGATTGTGTAAATAAACTTTTTGAACAAACCTTCCTGATTGATGACTGGATGCTTTTATTTTGAAGTGATTATTGATCTGCTGCAGCAGCTGTTTTTGGATACTTAAAGTCTTACTAAAGACTAAAAACAAGTTCTTTAGAGACATTTTATATTTATATTGTGAGTAATAGAGTTAAGATGAGTGATTTCTAAAGCTGAACAACAGCTGCTACAGAGGTCCTGGTTAGTTCTGTTTCTGTGTGAAGCTTTAAGCTGTTGGGTTTTTGGCTGCTGGACATTTGGTTAATGACTCTCCCTCACTGATCTTCAGGTTAAATGTACTACAAGCAGTTTAAGTGGTTATGAAACAGTCTCAGTTTAATACTGATGTCTCTATATGACCGACACAAACAGAGAGAGATTGGCTGGTTCTATACAGTTACTCTGGATGGATGACACCGGGTCAGATTTGGTTGAATTCACTTGAAATCAATAAAACAAAGAGGTGGAAACACTACCACTTTTAACCACATGGGGTCCCCAGATCAACACAGAATCAAAGTCCCTTGTTGCTGCTTTAAGATCACAAACTTATTAAGATTGATCATAGAATTAAAACTCCTAAAAACAGAATCCTCCTGATTCAAAAGATGACTGGATTTGTTTGCTGCTTGTTACTAACATGTTACTGTTGTAGCTGCTCCAGGTGGAGGTAATTTAACTAACTACTAGCTTGTTCATTCAGTGGTTCTCAACCTAGGGTCAGTCCCCTCCAAAAAGGGTCACCAGATAAATCTGAGGGGCTGTGAGATGATTAATGGGAGAGGAAAGAACAACCAACACAAATCTACAACCTTCCCCTCTGAACTGAAGTTCATCAGGCTTTATAATAGTGGAGCTGTGACTATTAGTGTTCACTGCTGTACCATCCCTGCTTTTATTAATAAGATAACAGGGAGCAGCAGCAGGGTGGGGATGCACAGTGTGAGATACATAGTTAGCTTCAATAGAAAGAGCAATCAAATAATCATCACATTGGTTCTTTCTGAGATCATTCACTGTGGCTTTATGTGACTGACAGGTGGAGCAGAGACTCTTCTCTCTCTAAGATGAATAAAACATCTGATCATTTATCAATTCTCTATTGTGGGCAATAAGGCGAGGGCAATATAAAGACATTTTAGCTGCTAAATATCCACATTAAGATTGGGACAAAACAGAAAATAAATAAATTGTGGACATCAAATTTAGTTCCAGCTCTGCATTCATTGTTAGACGTCTCTGGATTGTGCACTGCAGTGATTCCTGTATTTGAACTGTCAGAAACTGATTAAAGTGAAACTAATGCAGATTCTCCTCCAGGATTTTCTGGCTTAAGAAAAGTAACAGGACAGATGTACAGACCTGGATCAAGGACTAACAGAGGCTCAGACGATCAGTTGAATTTGGCATATTGCCGGGACTGGTGGATTCTGGTGAGACCTTCTCCAGTGTTGGAATGAACGGTCACACTGTCGCCTTATGCACACAAACCAAGCGTGTGTCACACACAGTGTTAGGTTCTACTACCAACCAATAATTACTCCCACTGTTAAGAAAATGAAGGGCAATTGAGGAACATTAAATCATTTATTACAACCAATAAAATCAATTCAATTCAATTCAATTCAATTCAATTTCAATTCAATTCAATTCAATTCAATTTTATTTGTATAGCGCCAATTCATAACAGAAGTTATCTCAGGACACTTTTCAAATAGAGCAGGTCTAGACCGAACTCTTTAACATTCACAGTATAAAAACATGTTCAGCCTTTAAAGTGTGAAATAAAATGATTAAAATGGCTCAAATCAATCAGTGTGACACAGTACCAACAGTTTAAAAGGCCCTCTGCTGTTGTTCCACCTTTGGGAGGAGCCGAGCTTTCTCCTCCAACATCAGTGCCTGACCTCTTTTAGCTGAATGTGCAAAACCTCCCAGAAGAGTGGCGGCTGTTAGAGCGTTGCTGCATGTCTTTCTGTCCGCGCCTGCTTAACTATCTCAAGTTGAGTCTAGGTTTAGGTTGGAGGGGTAGCAGCATCTCAGCTCTGGTGTTTAGTGTAGTTCTTGGTAGTAGTTTGATAATTCCTGATTTTGTGTATTCAAGTTATATAGATATACTCATTGTTGGATGTTATGATTAATTCTTTGAATGCATAAATTATATAAAATTAAATATTTTAACTCACATGCAGTCTCATGTTCATTTATTAAAATATATGTGTGCTCATTATTTTACTAATTTGTTTTGTTTAGGTATATATTAATTTTTAACATTGTGCACATTCCCTTTAATAGATAATCATCTTTTGTTATTGTACTAATTTTACATCATAATCTTACTTAATTAATTCATATGTTGTTAGTGTTTACTAATTATTTTTCACCGTGTTAATGATCTTAAGAAGAAATGTGCAGTAGGTAGTAGTGCGCATGCTCTCACTCATGCATAGCTCCCGCAAAGTTTTACAGACACAGGAAACAGCGACACCAGGTGGTCAGATCATGAAATAAAGCTCAGTCCTCATGAAATATAAAATACACACAGATTAAATATAAAACGCACATTATCACTACATTTCAGTATGTGCCTTAGTGTGGATGGCCTATAGTTATTATTATTATTATTATTATTATTATTATTATTATTATAAGATTACAAAAACAAAACTTGGTCCTACTTGGACACCGTGGGACACAGTATCTCAACAAATGTTAAAAATGCACAAAGCAGTCTGAGTACTAAATCAACTAAGCTCCCCGCGCCCCGGGAAAATATTGTGCCAGACTCCCTTTAAGAAACACGTCATTTTAACAATTCCTAACGTGTCCGTAAAACACAGAACTCTAGAAACACGAGATAAAGGATGTGATATGTCGACTGTCTTCTTGTCAGTTCGGTAATAATATTATGTATGAAGACAGACTGCTGTCCCTGTGCATTTAGGATTGTGTTGCCTCCGCTGGCTGTCAGCCTCCATTGGTTCGCTGTGTTATTGTAGTTGGAGTAGACTGTGGGGATGAGAGGGGGGCCGTTTTAAAAAAATACGATTTCTCAATAAAAGAAGAGCTTTTTGGTGGATCGATACAAGCCGAATTAAACACTGACTCATTACACTGTTCATCCACCGTCTGCCATGTTTGTGTGACGGTATTTTAGAGTTTCTTTGGTCGTTACCAAAGTACTACACGGTTTTCTGGTTACTGTTTGGTGCTGAGAGAGCGCACCTACCTTCAGATAATATTTAACTTTGGCTGCTCCGTCTTTCTCCACTGATAGTCCAACACAGGTTCCTTAAACAGGTCGGTATATTCACTGTCTACTGAGCATCGACCGTTAATGGATGATTGTGGGAAGACACTGGGAGGAGGAAGAGTGCGCACAGTTCACCGCAGGTGGGTATTAATAAAGAATAGATCATTAATAATAATTAAAACTAAGACTAGAGCTGTCTAGAACCAATGTCTGGTTTGTCTGGTTTGGACCTTAGAGTATGTGGATGGCCTGGGGCCTCTTTTATAAAGGCTGCTAACGGTGAAATGTGCAAAAGTCTGGATTTATAGAGAAACCAGGTGCGGTAAAGAGTGCGCATTTTACGCATGCTGTCCCCCATGGATAGATATTGTGAAGTTTGTGAGTAGGCAGTGTTTCTGGATTAAATCTGTGGCCCCTGTGGTCTCAGTGGCCCTCCTACAGAAAGCAGATCCCATCAGCCCATCTGGTCCACACTAATGGTTCATTCCGTTTGGATTATTATTTATTGGAAGAACCTTTGTGTCATTAAATCATCAAATGTGACCTTTATGTGCTTCTTTTACTCACTGTCTGTCTGTGTTTTATGAAGACAAATGAAGATATATTCTGTTATTTTCTCACTATGGACCACAATGCACTGCTTTGAGTCCAGCTGCAAATATTTGTTGCATCTCTCAACTATAAATCATAATAAAGGCAGAAAATACAGTAGTAAACCATCTGTTTGGTTTTAAAGATGATTTATCTGCTACATTGTCTCATTCAAAGTGTTTCTTCTCCTAAAAAAGTCTTTATTAAAACAAATGTTACAAAATAGTTAAAATCTTAGAATCAGCCGATAAAGTCACAACACACAGTTTTATTCAATTATAAAGCACTGAAATTACATTGTACTTTACAAATGCATCATTAGTAACAAATATAAAACCTTCATACAATTCAAACATCAGTCAGCAACACTTTATTATGCAGGACTGTTGTATTAGCCTGCATTAGCTTTAGCTAGGTGGACCTAATAAACTGGACACTGAGTGTGGAGTTCAGTGTGGAACTGTACCTGACACACTCTGACTCACCTTAACAAATAAACAAACAATACAGGGTTGTCCCAAATAATGTCAATAACACAAATATGTCAATAAAACACAAAGTCACATTATATTTCACTTTAGCTGCAAAACATTCACATTCATTTCCAGTAAGAGCAGTCTTCAGTGGCAAGGTGCTGCTCTCACCATCAGGAACAATTTGGGGTTCAGCGTGTTGCTCAAGGACACTTCAGCGTGTGGACGGGAGGAACCGGGATCGAACACGTTTGCAGTAACCTTTATTCAGGTGCACTGTCCCCGTTAGGATCATTGAAGGTAATGGAATGTGTGTATAATATAATAATACTAATTTACAGTTTGCCTCTCGTTCACTCTCACACTGATGTGTCATCCTGATCTTAGGAAGCAGATTGAGGTTCAGTACTGGACAAGTGTATATTCTCCTCTGCCCGTCCATTTGTTCCACTGTTCCTATCGTCTGCAGGAAAGAAAACAAAATGACATGAATGAAAATCTGGATCTGTTCAGGCTGCACAACAAAGTTTCCTTTTACAGGTTTTATCTGGGTGAACAACTCAAAGGAGTTTTTGTATTTTGTGTTTTCCATAAAATGTTTATGTTATATATCAGATTCTGAGACTCTCAGTTATTGAGATCAGCTTCAATAACAGTATCCTCAGTCTGTATTTAATGCCACTCTGACAGTTTTATAACTGATTTTAAGATATTTTACTTTTATTTTGAACTGGCACTGGACCAATGACAGCTTTCATTCTTTTATGTGTAACTGTTGAAGAGATTAGCCTTTAATGAAATGTACAACTACGAGATCACGGTCTAACTCTACGAGTTTCTTATAGTCAACGTAATCCCAATTTAATTTGACAGCATCAGTCATGTTTTCTTACTGTTGGCCAGATTAGTGACATCTGAGCAAACACCATCCACTAGCAGCTCTCTCTTTGTGGATGATGTAAAACCTCCTCTAGTCTCTAAGGCTTTGTTAAACATGGAATTGGTCCTGTGGGTCATTGTCTGCTCTCTGTTATAAAACTTATTCATCATTGTTGTCTTGTTTTTGGGAGTAAACGTTTTTTAACTTTTCTGACAATGTGCAGTTTAATAATTTTATAATTTTTGTTTCACTCTGTTGGAAGCACTGGATGTTTGGAATATATGTAATGCTATTGGATAATAAGTATTATTATTATTAAATGCACAACAGAGGATAACATGTACAGCAGGAAGGCTAACTTCACTTCATTATCTTTAGTCACATTCAAGAAAATCCCTTTTGTACAGATGTATGATGCAGCTGATACTATTGTCTACAACTGGTGCAACAAAGTTTTAATTCTGATTAAAGTTCAAACCCTGCAGACAGAAACCTTTCTTTGGTATCAGATAAAGCAGCTGGTTACAGGACAGATTAGTGGAACCCTTCTGGAGAACATGGAGGTCCACATTATAACATCACCCTGTCCTCCCCTCTGCTCTACACACACCTCTAACAGGAATACTGTATTATTATAGAGAGAAAAGGAAGCACAAAGTGACTCGAGGCTCGCCGTAAAGTAAAGGTGACTGCAGCGGTTCAGAACCCGGAAGTTCACCTGAACAAGAAGACGACTACTGCTTCTTCGGGGCTTTTAACAGGAGGCTGTGCAGCTGTAACGCTAGTTGTTATTAGTGTTCGTTAATAACGTATTCATAACATTTTACTTCCTTGTAGGAGTGTTAGAGATTCACTGACAGTTTATTGGGGACGGCTAACGTTAGGTTAGCTCACCCTCCTCAGGACAACATGGTGAAAACTGGAACGATGGAGCTTTTCTACTTGTGCATCTGGCTGCTGACTGTTTCTGGAAAGTTACTTGGACATGCAAACGGTGAGCAAGTAAACACTTTCTGCTTCTTCATTGTAGGAGGCATACGGACTGTGAAAGGCCTGCACAGACGGATCGATGGATTTGATTTGATGTGTGTCCTGTAACTTTCTGTGGTATCCTGCCATCTTGGCTGTTGTCTGTGTGCTGTGTTTCTGAGCTTTGGTTTATACCATCATAGCTCATCATAGTGTTTATTAGTTTGTTACATTTTGTTTATGTTTAATACCCCTGCACAGACACAACATCTGTACAACTGTGTATAGGTTTTATAATGAAATCCCTCCATACAGTGTAAATTATCGGGGCAGATAAAGTATTGGCTGGCAATGAGACATATTTATTATTAGAAATGATCCCAATAAAGAAATGACAGTTGATACATTATCGGTTCATAATAATAATAATTTATTTTGAAATCGTATTCACAATGATTGACAGGCTTTATGCTCGATAAAAGTTAAAGTCTGTTTGTGACCTGGTTGAGAAATACACAAGTTGCCCTTAACATAACCATCCTACCCATCAGTGACCTGACTACTCACTAACATGCTTCTGAACTGGTGTTTCAGAGTTATTGAGGTGTCGTGATGTAAACGTGCTATCTGGTTTTCTGCCTGATTAACCTGATTTCTGTTAAACACAGTGACTGATTAATGCTTCGTCTTTCAGGGACAGATGTGGTGTTTGTAAAAGAAGGGAGCGATGCCGTGTTACCCTGCTTCTCTCCCACCAACCTGGTAGATAAACTCTTTGACTGGAGGAAAATTGTTCTCAAAGGTGGTAAGCAGGAGATGAAGGAGGTGTTCCTGTATCATTCCAAGGATCATTACAATAACGGCCGTCTTGGTCAGGACGAGCAGTTCAAAGGTCGAGTCTTACATTTTGAGGGGAGCGCTGAAGGACGGCAACGCCTCCATAATCATCCAAAATACGACGCTGGACGACAGTGGAGATTTCACTTGTGCCTTTCCTCATCTTCAGCCCAACACACTGACCTCAGTTAGGCTCATCGTTGGTGAGTACTTTCAATAAACAGCATATTACTTCTCTGCTGAGATACTGGATTTACAGGTGTATTAGTCACCTGAGTAACCTCGGGTGACTAATACAGAAATACTTTAATAATCCCAGGGGGAAATTATTTAATACACCTGCCCCTTCATGCTCTAACAACAATCCAGCACTGTTTGCTAACTTGGGCTCCTCTTCTTATCTCTCTTTGCACTCTGGCAGCAGTACATCAGTAAGTATCAACAGCAATCTGTATCATGTGCATTCTTGTGTGCATGTACGTGTGGTGCTACTTGAGGCTGATTTCTACCTTCACACAGAGCCAGCTCTGCTTTTCAGTCTTTATACTAAGCTAAGCTTTACATTTAATTCAATTTCAATTCAATTCAATTTTATTTGTATAGCGCCAATTCATAACAGAAGTTATCTCAGGACACTTTTCAAATAGAGCAGGTCTAGACCGAACTCTGTAAAACATTATTTACAGAGACCCAACAGTACCACCATGAGCAAGACCTTGGAGACAAGGGCAAGGAAACACTGCCTGTTAAAAGGCAGAAACCTAGGACAGATCCTCCGGCTCTAGGTGGGTGGTCGTCTGTCTCGACCAGTTGGGGTGAGAGAGAGAGAGAGAGAGAGAGAGAGAGACAGACAGACAGACAGACAGACAGACAGACAGACAGACAGGTGCACAGCAACAACAGTATTGGTAATGGCAATCTAGCAGGACCATGGCAGGAGGCTCCACCAGGATCGATAAGAACCTGCGAGACGAGAAAGCACGAGAACTCCGGGGAAGAAGTGAAGTTAGTAACATGCATTAATGGGACATGAATGAGTGCAGAAAGAGAGAGGAAGAGAGGAGCTCAGTGCACCATGGGAAATCCCCCGATAGTCTAGGCCTATAGCAGCATAACTAAGGGATGGTTCAGGACTCACCTGATCCAGCCCTAACTATACGCTTTATCAAAGAGGAATGTCTTAAGCCTACTCTTGAATGTGGTGAGGGTGTCTGCCTCCCGAACCACAACTGGAAGCTGGTTCCACAGGAGAGGAGCTTGGTAACTGAAGGCTCTGGCTCCTGTTCTACTTTTAGAGACTATAGGAACCACAAGTAGCCCAGCATTCAGAGAACGTAGTGTTCTAGAGGGGTAATAGGGTACTATGAGCTCTTTAAGATATGAAGGGGCCTGACCATGAAGAGCTTTATAGGTGAGGAGGAGGATTTTAAATTCTATTCTACATTTTACAGGGAGCCAGTGCAGAGAAGCTAGTACAGGAGAGATGTTATCTCTTTTCTAGTTCCTGTCAGTACTCGTGCTGCAGCGTTCTGAATTAATTGGAGCGTTTTAATGGACTTATTGGGGCAACCTGATAATAAAGAGTTGCAGTAATCCAGCCTTGAAGTAACAAATGCATGGATTAGTTTTTCTGCATCTGTAATTTATGTTGGCTACTGATAGTTTAAACATGCAGCTCCCTCATTTAATACAGTTTGTGGGCTTTTCTTTGTTGTGTTTTTCCCCACACCATTTTAGTTGTTGACTCCATTACTACACTAAGAGCATATGACAGGTTAATATCACACCCGTTCACCCGTTCTTCTTCGTCTTTCAGTTCCTGTCCTCAGAGACCGATCAGGAGAAACCAGACGTGAGTGAAGCCACTGATCTCTGTATCTGTACTGTGTGCTACAACTCTCTAGGCCTCAGTATCAGTCACAACGTTTGATTTAGTAACTTCATGAACTTGAGGTGCAAAACTATTCAAAACTTTTGACCTTCTTCTAAAAATGTGGTAATTAATGACCAGTGAGAACTCAGCAGATCCAACGCTGAGCTGCTCTCCACAATAAATGTTAACACATCTTATAATATTGTAATTATGAGATATCTATATCTAATTTTCCAGATCAAATAATAATGCTGATTAGATATCTTTTAGATCAACAGTGATGTTTAAAGACGGATAAAGAGAAATCTGTGGTAGGTTCCGATATTGATGATGTTACTGATCTCTACGTCTGCAGACCCTGCGGTTTCCTTAGAGCCAATCAACAGCAGCATCTCAAACTCGACTGAACACTGTGTTGGCTCACTATGATACAGGACAACACTTGCATCTATATTTCCCAGCTCTTCTTTTGTTGTAGTGCACACGTTGTAGATGTAGAGATCAGTGAATATCAATGCTCACCACAGATTTCCTCCTAATCTGTCTCTATGTAAATTATGTATCTTATCTTTGGAACTGCTCACTACATGGTTTATTCCACTTGGCCCCAAACAGCACCATGTTATTGCCACAACAGCCTACAGGTGTAATGCTAATGTGAGTAGTAAGGGGTATCTGTCATTAATTAAGGCTGGACTGAACCAAACCTGTCTGAATATGTAAAGCTGTAGTGTTGGCAGGATTTGGTTAGCAGTTATTATATATTGTGTATGGTACTGTATATTACATACTTTAGTTTGACAGGTAGACCTATTAACAAAGAAATCCTGCAGCAAAGTATTAAAATAAGTTCATCTCATATATAAATCATATATCATATATCTAACTCACACTACTGCACATTTACAAAAAACAATAGTGCTAGTGCTGTAACTGTTGCTCATACGCTGTTCTTCATTCTGTCTCCACAGTTGCAGTTTCAAGGCCTTTCATCACAATCGCTGATGTCACACAGTTCGGGGTGCTGCTCAGGTGTGACGTGCAAGATGCTAAATTACTGCCAAAGCTCCAATGGCAGGACAGTGACGGAAACATCCTTCCTGCTGAGGAGACTCAAGCCTCAGAGAGAGGAGGCCGCTCTGACATCACCCTCCAAACTACTGTGAGCAAGACCAAAACCAACCGCTTCCACTGCGTAGCCACACAGGAGGAGATCGGCCATGTGATTGACCGTAACATCACTGTGTCAGGTGAGTTTTCTCTCTCAGTGTTTTTAGTCTGCAAATACTTTCAGTTGTTCAAGTATTTCAGGACCACCACCTTCTTTAGTGTAGGTTATAACCTTTGTGCTATACATGATGAACACATTCACACCGGGGTTTTGTGTTTCAGAGAAACTGTTTGAGGACAAATGCAGCGCAGTGGACATCACAGGATGGTTAGGTGGATTCTTTTTGGGAGTTTCATCTCTTGCTGCATCTCTTGTAGCTGTAAAACACATAAAGAAACGCTGCAAAAAAGGTGAGTTTATATAATGGATTTTATCAACATATCAATAATAGACTTTATTTAGAGACCTCTGATTCTCATTATGTAAGTTTATTATAGCAAGTTGTAAATACATTATCATAACTGACTGAATATACATTTTAATTTCCCACCTTTCAGTCTCTTTAACCAAAACATCAGCAGCTTCCATGTTTTTCCATTTGAAAGCCCCCTCTGATACATTTCATTTAAATAAGCAACAAAGAGCTTTTCTCTACATGCATAATGTAAGCACATTTGTATGAAGGAAATGATGGTTTATTATCTCCAGAAGTGGATTTGTAAAGACTAACTGACTGGTATTGTTTGGAAATGGTTGGATGTCACCTGCTTTGTGACCAAAATATTCACAAATAGCAGAACATGGTCAGTAGAGGTGGAAACTGACATCATCACACAGTGTTAAAGTGATAGAGTGAATTCAGCTTTAGGATGTACAGTGTGTTTGGTGGTCGACCTCAGGGTAACACTGAGCACTGGAAGTCTTCTGTAATGCACAAATGAATCCATGAGTGAATTCATGAGTCACTGAAACCAACTTATCCACTGTTAACTGTTTGAAAACAGGATACAAGCATTAAAGTTATTTGGTAGGCGGCAGATCTATCTGGGTGGGCCACCAAAATCATTTCTGTATGATATAATAGTTGACATAATGTAATATGTACTTTTTTCCTTTTTGCAGGTTCAGTGATATAACTTCATCCACTGCTTGATGGCTTTACCTTTGTTAACGTGTGTGTGTGTGTGTGTGTGTGTGTGTGTGTGTGTGTGTGTGTGTGTGTCTACAACAATGTGACAACATTACATCACATTGATTTAGGTGATGATATTATCTAGTGATTGGCAAATATTTGCCTTGTTGATTGACGTCAGCAAATTAGACAGCGTTCACCGATATCAGTGGCCAGTGTTTATCTGTTGCATTCATTTAGCAGGAGTTGGTCCCACGTTAGTTGTGTAAGGCTTTAGTAAACCAAAGAATATTTTGTTACTACCTATTCTTCAACCAATCGATTGGTCAATAGGGGGAAATCTAGGTTAACTAAATCTACCACAGTGCACTGAGTAGCTGCTGGGTGCTAATCACAGATACAGCCATTTCTTTTTCACAAGTATCTGTTACCTTCAGGACATATCAAGTATGTTTACAGCAGCGACACACGCATGTACACATACCAGCGAGGATCACGCAGCAAAGTGAGTTTTCGTGCAGCAACAAAGCTAACGCAGTGTGAAGCCATGCAGCAGGTCAGATCTGTACATTTCACTGCATCTTAAAAAAATAATTGCGACACATGTTTCAATGTTTGGAGCCATTTTTAGGCAGAAAGTGAATATTACAAAAGTAGTTGGAATTTCTTTTGTATAATAGGTCATCCATTAATTCCTGATTATGGACACCTCGTAGGGCATTAACCAGTTATTTCACACCCTCATTAGAACGCCCCAACGGGCAAAACAAGGCTTTCTTCTGCTGCCCATAGCTAACTTAGCAGTAGTGATTGTTGACACAGACCTAGTTTATAAATGCTCTACAACTTTTTTCACGGGGTACATTAATTAATTATTTGTTTTATTCATTTGCACAGACAGTTGTTTTGGCTCTCTACCGCTGTCTCTCCTCTGTGAGTTTCACGGTGCTGCTCAGACTGGAGGGGCCGACAGGGAGAGAGGGGTTAATTCATTCCCACTCCTTGGCTTTAGCAGGTCCTTTAATTCCACTGCTAATGCTGTTAATGCTGTCTCTGAGCTGGTAAAGTTTTTATTTTTACTCTTCCATATTATTTTCAATAATTAACTTCCTCACACAGCCTATATGGTATTATCGGGTCGTCAGTTCTCGTGAACTCCTCCATTATGCACAGGTGGAGTTCATCATTTTTACGCAGGTAATTTACACAGAAATCTAAAGTTAGGTATTAGGTAGTGTTCGCTGAATCTGACGTGGCACACTCGTATGAGACCACCATATAACGACAAGAAAGAGAAAGTTAAGATGAGAATACACAATGCATAATAATAACATTAATAATATATAATATAATATATATATATATATATATATATATATATATATACAAGCCATAACTTTGGTAACACCTGAGGAAGAATCATTACCATCCCATAATGTTCTAGTGCCACAGAAACGCTGTTCACTACTCCTGTAAATAGGAGGAACCTTAGGTACAACTTGACAATGGGAGATATTTCTAGTTCCCTCAGAATGTCTGTGAATAGGGCCCCAGGGGCAAAAACCACCAGATCAGGTGTTGTACCAGCTGATCTCTGGTTCTCGGGCTTACAATCAATATAATGTAACTGGCTGAAGATGGTTGTTAGAGTCCAGATAAGATGTTATCAGATCAAAGATTGTTATAAAATTACTTTGGTTAAGATTGTGACTCCTTTGTCACTGGTATAGTGACATCGACAGGTGGAGGTGGAGGTGTCTTTTAGAAAGGTCTTAAGAGACACAGAAGCTGCTTGGAAATATTTATATGCCTCAGTGTTGATTTTGTTTTTACATTATTATGGATGTGAAATGAACTGTAATAGTACTTTTGTCTTGCCAAAGGATGTTTCATTTCTACGTGTCAATATAATGAGGAAATCTCTGATTCAATGCTGAAGTTTTATGATATAGTTTATTTTTGAGCTACTGATGAGATGTGTTCTCTCACTCTGTTGTCGACAGTCAGACATTTTACAGTGGATGAATGTCTGTTTGTCCATGTAGGCTTGCACTAGTTTCTTTTACACTGAAACAACAAAGCTGTTTTTTTCTGAAGAACATTTGTGAGAAATGAAATGGTTAGTTGAAGCTAAAGGAAGAGTTCAATGTTTGTTATGATTTTTTGTTTCATCGATATTTATTTTATGCATTCTAATGCGATGCCTACAAATGTATAGTCACAATTGTTACAGTTTTGCCAATTGCTAAAACACAATTTTGCAAACTAGGCTGGTTTTATCAAAATACTTAACACAATTCACAAAACCACCCAAAATACCTCATATATCCTGCAAAATGAAGCACTGCAACCAAAACTACATATAGCATTATCAAAATCAAACTGTTGCACTAAATGACACACACTTCTTTCAGATTACCAGATTGCTGTCTAACCAACTACACACTGTTGGGTATAATGAAAAGCATTCTCATCTTTAGTATGCTTTGCCATAATACTAAAATAGTTCAAATTGTAAAAGATTCTTCAGATTGTTCACATGCACAGAAATACTGTATATGCACATACACACACAAGCTGTTTATTTTTTCACCAAACAAGTCAGTGCAACATATGCACAGCTCCTTTGCTCTGTGTGTGTCAGTTTAAATAATTGTGCTATGTATGTCATTAAAGTGTGTTAGCAATTGGAAGAAACTGTAAAATGTTTTGCGTATTGCAGTGGTATTTTTGAAAGTGCAATTTCCCAGTTGTGTCACAAGAGGGGAGTGTCCACCTTGGTGAGCACTAGTAGGGATCCTCAAACAGAGAACAGCCTGCTGAGCGATCACAAGTAACGTTTCCTGTCCCTGCTTTCATAATATTTTGGTAAAGTTAACAGTTCATTTGTGATCTGTCAAAATAAAGAATAACATTAAAATACATTTGGATTCTCATTCTTTCTTTGTGTTCTGTTCACTTAAAGCACCAGTGTGAAGGGTTTAGTGAATACCAACTGAATGCCGCTCTTCTTCCAAGCATGGAAAAACACTAAAGGTCCTATATGGATACACATATATATACATATGTATATATATGTGTATATATATATATACTGTATATAAATCCTATAATGTCCCTTCGGGGCTACTGTAGAAACATGGCAGACTCCGCCAGAAGAGGACCAGCTCCCTTTGTAGATAAAAACGTGTCATTCTAAGGTAACAAAAACACAATGATTTTTATTTTCAGGTGATTAAACACTAATGAAATCATAATTATGCAAATTTTATTCAATTTCTGCAAATAAATCCCCTGAAAACATACAAACTGACCTTTAAGAGAAAAAAATGAGCAAAATCCTTGATTGAAAAATAAATCTTGATTATAGGAAGTGACAATAAATCACCCAGTATTATTCTGATTATTTTATGCCAGAGTTTAGGTAAATCTGGACTTATACTGTTTATAGTACAAATATGACATTTCCAAGGTACTGGAGGAGGAAATCTTGCTCACAACAGACAATGACCCGTCTCAACCACAAGGCCGCGCTAAAGCTAATAGCTAGTCTTGGTCCACACCATGACATCACAACATCCATCTGTAATTGAATCTGAGTGTAATATGGGTGGGTAGGTGGGATACATCAGTCTCTGACCCCTCTAGTCCCTGCTTGTATTTGTATGGACGTGCAGCCACAAGAGAATATCCCATCAGGAGAAGCAGCCAGGATCTGCTTTCAGTGTTAGACCTTCAGATTAAAGTTCATTTGTATCGTCTTTATTTCTGTTTGGTAACATTGACCTGCAGTCCATTAGTCTTCCCCACAGGACAGCTGGAACAGTGAGATCTGTGAACATTTTCAACTGCAGATTGCTTGCATTTTAAAGACCTCCAAAGTGACTTGGTATTTAATCATCAGTCCAGTTCAGTGTAATGTCAGATCAGGGCTGCAATGAACGGTTGATGGAGAGTCTGTCTCAAGTTGAAAATCTATGCCGGACTCTGCCTGTGTATAATGTGGCTGTCATATCAGATATAGTAGTACCCTGTAGTGTTCAAAATGTCACAATGCACATTAAGCTCACTTCATGTGTGTGACTGCGTTATGGTTGAGCTTGAAATAACGGAAGTTTGACTTCTGACAGGAAGTCTTGTGGTTTCCGTCAGTGACATATACTCACATATTTACAGAACTTGACATTAGACCTGTTAATGTTTGTTCAGGACAACCAGA